GCATGTGCGTGTGTTGGGTTAGAGAGAGAGAGAGAGAGAGAGAGAGAGAGATAAGCGAGGAGAGAGGGGAAAGAGAGATAGATAAGCGAGGAGAGAGGGGAAGGAGAGAGGGAGAAAGAGAGAGAGAGAGAGAGAGAGAGAGAGAGAGAGAGAGAGAGAGAGAGAGAGAGAGGAGAGAGAAGAGAGAGAGAAGAGAGAAAGAGAAGAAAGAGAGACGCAGCGTGCTGTACGTAGTGGGGTGGTGTGTGGTGTGTTGTGTGTGGGGTGTGTGTGTGTGGTGTGTGTGTGATAAAAGAGAGAGAGAGAGAGAGAGAGAGAGAGGAGAGAAAGGTAAGCGAGGAGAGAGGGGAAAGAGAGAGAGAGAGAAAGAGAGAGAAAGGTAAGCGAGGAGAGAGGGGAAAGAGAGAGAGAGAGAGAGAAAGATAAGCGAGGAAAGAGGGGAAAGAGAGAGAGAGAGAAAGATAAGCGAGGAGAGAGGGGAAAGAGAGAGAGAGAGGAGAGAGAAAGATAAGCGAGGAGAGAGGGGGCAAGGACGGCGCAGCGTACACGAGAGAGAGAGATAGAGAGAGAGAGAGAGAGAGAGAGAGAGAGAGAGGAAGACAGCGTGCGTGCGTGTGTGTTAGAGAGAGAAGAGAGAGAGAGAGGGGAAAGACAGGCGGGCGTGTGCGTGTTGTGTTAGAGAAGAGAGAGAGAGGACCCTGAGATGAGAGAAGATCTGCCGATCGACAGCCAAGTGCTGCGCGCTATGAAAGCCATACGCTCTCCGAGCCCCGGAGACCCAGTGTTGTTGTTGTATGTTGTGGTGTGTGTGTGTATGTGTGTGGTGTGTGTGGTGTGTGTGCGTGTGCTGTGTGTGTGTGTGGCTGGTGTTGTTGTGTAGTCTAGCAGCAGCCATCATGTCATGCAATACCAAGCATCGTACTACGTAGCTACTGGATAACAACCATCCTACAAACAGCCTATTTAACCCTATTCGGGGGTAGCGCGTGCTGCCTCTTCAATCACTAATAGTACCTACGACTCCTAGCTACCCTACATCGCGCCGAATTCAATCTCATTCGTCCCACACCAATCTGAACAACGGCACACACGCCACACATATACACCACGTCATGTCATTGATGGCAGTACAAGGCGATCTTTCTTCATAGTGGCTGGCACAACGCCCCGACGCCCGCGCAACGCCACAGCAACAGTGCGCAACGGCGCCCTCCCCCCATTCATTTGCCATCGCGCCTTGCCGTATTCTTCATACTCCTCGCAGTCGCTCCTCGCAGGAATGCCGTCATACACCCCGGGCTCGTCCATACAAACCGGTGCAACACGCTGGAGCAATTACCGCCCCCTTATCGCTGACTGTGATCGCCGGCAGAGACCGAATATATATACTGCTAAAACAGCTAATATCTATGAATATATACATCCGGCATCATCCTGTGCCGTCGCAAGGAATTTAATTCATAACCTGACAACTTGGTGTCTACACTTCCAAACCTTGTCCAGTATATACATACCTATATAGCCGTGTCTCTGGGAAAGCAATCGAATATCATATCATATATAAATGCCTATGTGAAACCTTCTGGTCGGCTGCAGGCTTTTATATCCATGCACGTCGGCAACAGTCGCCAAGCACTTACCACATTGCCCCAAGTAATACATACCTAACGCCTGCTTTCTCATCGCCACGCCAATAACGAGTATAATTCATAATATAACACACCTACTCAGCATCACAACAACCGCCATGTCAAAGTGGTAGTCGCGAGGACCAGCAATATATCATGCATAGGGAAAGTACCTAGCGAGTCGGGGCAGACCGCAGAGAGAGAGAGAGGGGGGCAGGGGGAGGTGTGTATATTGTGTATGTGTGTTATATATGCGTATATGTGGTATATCTGTTGTATCCGCATATATATTAATATATGATCTATATATACATATAGATACTATATATATATAATAATATATATAGATATATATATAAACACGTGGGATATGTGTATATTATATGAATGTATGACATATATCTCTATATATAGTAATTATAGACATGATATCAGATATATAGTAATTTATACATCATACTATAATAATATTACTATATATATATTTTCTATATATCTCTGTATATAGCAAGTCGCACGTAGCAACACAGTGTATATAGGCATAGTGGCGCCATCTAAGTCGCCAGAAATAATCGCCTTTTATTGGCTACAGTGTTCTCTAGCCGCTGAGCCGGCTACACCGCGCTAACGCTAAGAGCGCAGTATCTTCAAGATAATCTTGTAAGCGCCAAGCTAAAAAAAACATGTAACATACGCTATATGTAAAACCATTAGCTAAAACACAGTAACATAGCAAAGGTAACAGGAAATGTTGCAGAAAACTTACAAATGCCGCCGATATGCTAAAACTAAATGTCAACATAGCCATTAATGATTAACACAAGAACCGACAATCTACAGCGCCACGCCGAGGCGCCATCCAGATGGGAAATCATTTCCCATTGGCGACATACATAAGGAAAAATTCCCGTTAATCAGCAGAGATCTTTTCGAGAAATTACAAAAAACTCGTTCACGATTTTTTATGTAAACAAACTTTTTCCGCGACACACGTGAAATCGCCACTTTGCAACAAAGATTTGCGGCAAAAAAGTAAGCTTCTTTTGAAAATTCTCCGGCCGCCATAGGAGTTCAAGTTCAAGTTCAAGTTCAAGTAAAATTTATTTTCATTGGTATATATATAATGAACATTATTAACATAAGCTAAGAGCTCTTGCACCGATATCAACCAAGAGTAAATAGATAGAGGAGTGTGCAGCGGACGCCACCACCCACACCGCCATATAGATACATCAGGAGCGTATAAGCAAAATCTTGTCATATACGAATCCTGATATCACTCAAAGAGCTAATAATATATACCTACAAAAAAAAAGTATTATTAGCTCTTGATATCATAAGTAACACATAATCATTATGTATATATATGATTTGTGTATAGATATTTATTAGTTTTGAAATTAACAATTCAGAGTTCAAATCCGCATGCGCATAGAACTGAATATAGATAACCGATAGAGAATAATATAACTATATGGTTTATCTAATTATGTCTACATATTCTAACCGCTTTCCCCCAGAGAAATAAGTATAAAAATCCCGCCCACGCGATACGCCGCAAAACGACCTCATCTGAACGGCTGTTTCAGGCCGCCCCAGCGCTCATAGGGCTGATTAGCAGCGTGCATGTAATACCCTGCATACGCTGAGGGAGTTTTATGTATTTTTTTGTTTTTGGTGTAATATATGCATGCATTAATTAAGAAAACAATTAATATCTAAATGAAATATGCGATTTTAAATCATTATCAATGACAATACAGACAAAAGGTTGCACACTAATCGCAATTGTGGGGGTTTCTGCAACGTTCGTGCTGCTGTGAGAAAAAGTGCGTGTGTGTGTTCGTGTCGTGTGTGTGTTGTGGTGGTGTGTGTGTGTGTGTGTGCTGTGTGTGTGAGTGGTGTGTGTGTGTGTAATGTGCGGTGCGTGCGTGCGTGTGTGTGCGCAGTGTGTGTCTGTGTGTGTGTGTGTGTGTGTGTGTGTGCGTGCGTGTCGTGTGTGTGTGGCGGTGCATAGGCGTGCGTGCGTGTGGCACGTCGCTGCGCAGTGGGTCTTGCGCGCAAGTAGTGTTAAACATTATACTCTATTTATATTACATTGGTGTATCGTTGTTGTAATCTTTCATGTATATGTGTTTTATTCTAGTAAATGTTTTCCTTTCCATTAATCAGATTAAAAGTTTTTCTTTTCTATTGTTCATCAATGGTAACGTGTATAGCAGGAGGACGAGTTCGCTTACGTTTCCACTGTTGTTGTGAAGGCTGATGTATTTGTTATTGTATCATTTTTATTTATTAGTCATCATGGTAACGTATATAAATAAACAAATATATAAAAATATATATACGATAAGTAAAAACACACGGACACCCGAAGAGATAAGATAAATTTAAAAATAGAATTAGGTGTCAAAATTTTATTACGCGAGCTTGCGAGAAGCATATGTCTCTTTGTCAGGCGACAACAACAGAAACTAGAAAGCACGTTATCTTTGAAATACAATGCGATAGGCGCGTCCACCAATGGGACAAATAAAATAAAATAAACCAAAATTAAACAGACACACATATGATTGGTTGATTGAAAACAGCAGAGACCAATGCGCGTTTACCAGACTGATAAATAAAAACAAACACACACACAATGTTATTGTGTGAGAAGTGATGAGACAACATAAAGAAACAAGACAAGCTAATAGCTAAAAAGAAACCAACAAAGAAGCGACAGCGCATAACAATAGTACATCAGAAGGCCCTATCGCGTTATCCAATAAAAAACAAAATGCACCGAGCATACAAATATATCAATACAAATAATAAATAAATAAATATATATATATATATAAATAAATGTACATATATAATAGACAAAATAAATCCATAAACACGCGTGCGTATACAAACATTTACATGTAATAAATATTTACATTCATCCCGTCAGTAAGGCATCCCACTCTTAAAACATGAATTTTTTGTCAATATTAAATTTGACGCTGTGTTGTGTGCAATGCGTATTAATTGGCAATACGAAAACAAAACGTGGTAAAAGCTGATGGTTGTATTGTATAGCCGCCGAGGAAGAGACATGTTCTCGGAAGCTCGCAAAATGAAAAAATTGACACCATATTCTATTTTTCTATTATAATTTTCTATATCTACATGGGAGTCTGTGTGTTTACTTCTATTTTTACTATATATATATATATAATTATACAACCCCACCCCCTGTACGACATTGTTGGTCTCCGATACATAGGCTGCTAGGATATTAAAAGCGAGCTAACAAACCAGCTTACGTGGTTGCATAGTGACGAGCGTTAGTAACGCACCATAGATACAATCATCACTAGGCCCTACTGTTCACCGCGCCAGGTTATGTTTAATCCATTACTGCTCATTCATATTATTGCACTTTGTTTTATAGTTCGCGTGTTATCATTTGTTCAATCAGCATGAAGAAAATGCTAACTCTGGAGGAAGAGGTGGGAAACAGCAGAGAATCCTGGTGTACTCTTGAGCGAAACAACTGCGAATCATGGCTGCGCACGCAGCGGCGTCACTACAAGAATGAGATGCAGAGCACGGTATTTACGGTAATTGCTTTTGTATTCACCCACACGCTCTTTAGTAAGTTTTAATGAATAAGTTCTTTCACGTTAAACAAGCACGCACGCGCACACACATACGCACCCACGCGCACGCGCGCACACACACACGCGCGCGCGCACACAGACACACAAGCACGCGCGCGCACACGCAAGCACGCGCGCAAACACACATACACACTCACACACGCACGCACACACACACGCGCGCGCGCACACACACAGGCAGGAATCTAGTGTCGCATTGACTAGGGTACGTCACGAATTGTCTATGGTGTATAGCCTACACACTTGTAAAAATTTTGTTGCAATTTTTTTACATGAAAAGTAAGTACTAACGGGACTAAATATATCCTCAAATTCATACCCGATAAGATTTTCAACTAGTTAAAAATCCAAACAAGTGCCGCAGAGCAACAGCGCTCAACTGACGTGTACTGTAGCCAATTATTCTTCTGATAAACTCACTGGCAACCGAATCAAGTGCGCCCTCCCGTCACCGCGTTCGCGCTCAGAGCATATATCTAGGATACTACTAATACAGATCAAAAATCTATGATAGGCTTTGCTATTATCATCAGTGAGAGAGGGGGAGATAGAGAGAGGGAGAGAGAGAGGGGGAGAGAGAGAGAGGGAGAGAGAGAGAAAGAATTATGAATACAGACAGACAAGCAAACACAGAATGCATGCATGCATACAGAAAGACAGACAGAAATAACGACATCAACACTGATTTATCGTTCCACAGAATGACCAGCGATGCAGCCAGCAGACCAGCAATAACGACATAAACACTGATTTATCGTTCCACAGAATGACCAGCGATGCAGCCAGACCAGCAATAACGACATCAACACTGATTTATCGTTCCACAGAATGACCAGCGATGCAGCCAGACCAGCAATAACGACATCAACACTGATTTATCGTTCCACAGAATGACCAGCGATGCAGCCAGACCAGCAATAACGACACAAACACTGATTTATCGTTCCACAGAATGACCAGCGATGCAGCCAGACCAGCAATAACGACACAAACACTGATTTATCGTTCCACAGAATGACCAGCGATGCAGCCAGACCAGCAATAACGACACAAACACTGATTTATCGTTCCA